TATATATATATATATATATATATATATATTTTATTTAATCGAACTTGATAACAGAAAATTTACAATAATTATCACACTCTGATTAACTAACTAATGTTTGGTAATAATACAATTATTACAGTATTAGTTAGGTAATAATATGATTTTAGTAACGGTATCTACAATGAACTTTAAAGCCGAAAGCCTCATTAAAGTAGCTAGAAGTTCAATTTTTCAAGTTTGGCAACTTAAAGGTGATTTCAAAAAGGTAGAGGCAAGAAAAATACAAAACAGGCCTAAGTGGCTTAAAAAAATAAACATATTATTAATATAATATTAAAACCTCATGATTGGTGAAGAGCATGAGTATACTCTGGAATGTGCACCACCCTATATAACCCAATTCATGTGAACCTCTCATTATATAAGAGCCATTTTTATTCAGTTCCATTCCCTGCATTTTCTAGCTCCTTCTTTCATCATCTATGGCTACCTTTCCCTCACCTTCTTCTCCATCATCTCCTTCTTCAATTCCTTCTCCAAGATCCAGCATGTTCTACTATGCTGGAAGTGAAGAACACTATGAGGAGCCTCACTTCCTCCAAGCTTGTTACCTTTGCAGAAAATCACTAGGCCAAAACCATGACATCTTCATGTATAGGTATTGCCTCAATTTAATTTCATTCAATTCATGTCACTCAACCACTTTCATCTTCTGAAGTTTTTACAGCTTATGAGCTATCTAGTGATACCCAGATGCTGATTGATTCTTGTTGATTTGATCAACAATTTTAATTCTTTTAAAAAAATATTTTTTCACTGAATTTCCATCTGGGGCTTAAGGAAAAGTGTTTTTTTTTTGTTTTCCTATGTTGTAGACCATGGTTTTCAGATCTAGAATAAAGTACATGCAATTGTTGGTTTTTTTTTTTCTCTTATTATTTGGATTAATATCTCTAAAACTTTGGTCTTTTTAATTGAAGTGACTGGTTTAGTTTAATCTATGTAACCAACCTGATCTAATAAGAAAAAAGTTTTGTTGTTGATGTTTAAATTGTTTGAATTAATACCAGTTAGAAGTATTTGTAAAAAAAAAAGGAATTTAAGTAGAGAAACTTTTATTCTAAATTTTTTATCAAAAGTATTAGTTATGTGAATGAATTGAAAACTTGTTTCAATTGTTTATATTTCTGAAGAGTGTTTTGGAATTGTTGTTGTGCAGAGGGAACACACCATTTTGTAGCAAAGAGTGCAGGCAGGAGCAAATAGAGATTGATGAGGCAAAGGAGAAAAGAAGGAAGCTTTCTTCCAAAAGGGGTGTGAGACAATCAGAGAGCAATCAAAATTCCACACCCAATAAGGCTGCAGTGAGAACAGGCACAGTTGCAGTGGCCTAATCAAAAGATAACTCATCATAATCACATGATATGATGATGATGATGAGTGAGGAAATTAAGAGTCCAATTTTTGAAGTGAAAAAGATGCATGGAATGGAAAATTCCAAAGGAAGAATTCTCAGTGCCAAACAATAATCCATGAAGATTCTGATAAACCGGGATGAATCTTCTTTGTAAAGAAAAAAGTTGGGGTTTAATTTCCATTGGGAGAAAAGAAATACCCAACAAAGAATTTTGGCTCTTTTTGTTTCTGTTTTTGGTAATATATTGATTTGACCCTTTTATTTTCACTCTTTTTCTCTGCTTGCTTTGTGTGTTCTATAACAAAGCATTGTTCATGGGTATTATTGAGATGGTGTTTTATTTTCCTGAAAATCGAGGCAATGAAAAAAAAAATTCTTTAAATTCGTTAGTCACTAAAAATAAAATAAAATTCTCATAGCAACTTAATCTCAATTTAACCGACAAGTATTTGTCCACATAGAGTTTGAATCCTTAAACTGGTAACTTTAGATTAGATCTGGGAATTCTTCATAGGATATATGTCAAATCTAGCATCTTTAATCTCTCACGGTATATCCTCTCAATTGAAAAATTATTGCATTCAAATCAACACCTAAAGCTGTATATTTACAAATTGAATTTTATGTTTGGCTTAGGGTTGAAAATGAATCTAATTAAGTTGAATTTGGTTCGATTTGATTAGATATAAATTGCCTTGTTGAAATATAAGACTAAGGGCAGGGTGCACTTACTTTGTGTTTTATGTTGGACAATTAAACTTATCTTATACTCACATCTGTTTTCTATTATAAAAATATATATTTATATTAAAAAATTAGTTATTTAAATTAAATTTTATTAATCTCATAATATTTTTCTTAAACATTAATTAGGTGAATTGTCTTTTTTTTTTTTTGCTTGCTTATAACCAGAATTGGAAAGAGTGTTGCAACCCTCACTAAGCCACCTTCATCAAAGAGCCTTCATTCTCTTCGTCATCTCACTTTTTGGTCACCTCCATTAAGAAACCTCCATTGTCTTATTCGACAAGGTCAAGTCTATCATCGTCTATGACAAGAGCTTAAAAAAAATGTGTAGAAGTTATTCATTCATTTTTGAAAAAAAATATATATATTGTAGCTTAAAAGCATCTTTTAAGATAAAAGTTTTTGAATAAAAAATTGAAAAACTTTAATTTTGTTTTAAAAAAAAATCATCTAGTTCAATAAAAATAGCTTTATATATAAGATAAAAACATTAGTAAAATTAGTTTAATTTATATAAAAATATATTTTAATAATCATAAAATAAAGTATTAAAATAGATATATTTAAAATTTTAATTTTGAAAATGCCAAATTATTGTGACATATATACATTCTTCTCTATTGCAAAATATTATTTTGCAGGTGAATCATTTTTCCCTATGGTAATAATTAGATCGACGAAAGGGTAAAACATTGTTTCTTAATTGTTGAAAAAGAAAGAACATGACCAAAATTTGTTAGCTAATTAAGTGGTTTGGCACGTCTTCTTTATTTGATGAGTGACGTTTGATCTTTATTTTAGAGATAAAGTTATAATTAAAAATATTATTTTATCTTTATGGAGTCTGACTGGGTGGGAAATTTTTTTACTATTTTATCAAACAAAATTAAAGACAAAATTTAGACATTATTGGAATCAATAGTGTCTCATGAAAATAAGCTCAACTCAAGTAATAAAAATGTTCCTTTATACAATTTTAAAATTTAGGTTGTGTAATGAATATTTATTTTATACACATCCTTTGATCTTTATTATAGACCCAAATTTTTAAATTAGTTTGATATTTTTTTTTATAGGATTCAATTTATTATATTTCAAAAATTAATTATTCTTTACAAAAAAATAGTCTTATTAAATGTATTTATTGAGTTAAAAAAGTAAGTAACATTTATTTAATTGAAGTACAAATAGTCTCATTTTTGTTTGAATGCAAAAACTTTAGAAAATATATATTAGCTATATCATTAATTTAGGGGTAATTTTGGAAAGAAGAAGAACTTTAAGACATTTATTGATTTTAATCAATAAAACTATTTTTTCTTAATTTTAGTAAATTATTTATTTGAATCCTATAACAAGGATCAAGTAAAGTAATTATAATTTATAATAAATAATTTATATTGAAATATAAAGATGTTTTTTAATTATTTTAATTTTAATTTTAAAAATATTATTAAAATCATCTATAAAAAAATAAATTAAATAAATTAAAAAAGGTGAGAGATTGAAAAAAATAATCTTAAATTTTACTTGATATTAAAGAAAAAACACATATTGTACCTTCCTAGCTACAATAATGTACAAAAATAACTCTTATAACAAAACATTTTGTCCATCTGCACTTGGCTCCCAATGTATCTTTTTCTTTAAGCTATATGTAGAAGGCCTCAAAGTTGGAATATGTAGACAATAGTATTGAGAATCATATTCGTGAAGTGTCATTCTCTAGAGATCAAGAAAAAACTATCCTATATACTCTTATATATTAAGTTTTCTTGAGTGGACAATCCTTATAACCCTACTTTAATGTTAGTCAAGAGTTAAGGGGATCCCAAGGATTTTCTAATTAACTTTATATCCTCACCCTAGTAAGTTAAATATTTATAAACTTAAAAATTTTGTGTTGTTAAGTTTGAAGAATTTATTAGAAGAAAAAAAATATAACATAGTGTTTGTGAATAACGTGTAAAATAACTAAAAAATATTTGGTTGGACTCTATGGTTGAATAGTGATTTTCTTTTAAAAGAAAAAATGGAAGAGACATAACTAAGGTTAAACAAAGAACCAATATAAAATTCTTTGTGATTTCTCTCTTTCCTACTCCTATGCGTTTTGGAAAATCTCTATCATACGTTTTATATTGCTAACGCACTAACTAATTTTGGTTGAAAATGATTTTTGCTAGAGGTTTTTAACTCAATTTAACTTCTCCGTCTTGTATATTAACATTTGTTTTTCACTTATATTCGACATTCATTATTTTTCTACCATTTTGTATCATTGGTCCAATTATTTAAACTTGAAAATATGTGGTAAGACATATTCTCTTAATTTTACTTCCCTGTCACACATCCTATTGGTTTCTTGCTGAAATTATAATATTTTTTTATAACTTGCTAAAATTATAATATATTGTGTCTTACACTCTCGTGAAACCCTTTATTTCACTCTTTCTCTAAAGATCAAATTTAAAGTTATTTGTTTCTCTTGTTCCTTAATTAAACGGTATCATTCAAAAAAATTGCAATAAAATAAAATGTCACCTTTATTCTTTATATAGTAATTAAAAAAATAAAAATAATCACAATCTTCATTAATCCTATTTATAAGACTCATATTCTTTATATAAGTAATTAAAAAAAATACAAATAATCACTATCACTATTTCTATTTATAAGATCCAATTTAGAATAATTGTTTGTTCCTTTATGTAAGACTAAATTTATATTGTCTCATGTATTAATTATTTTTAGACTAAGATAACTTTAATTAAAGTATATTCTCATAATTTAACAAAATGCATTATTCGAAATAGTAATTTACTAACATTATTAGAAATAATAATTTACTAACATTATTAAAGTGTATACACACACACAAATAGTAATTTACTAACATTATTAGAAATAATAAAGTTAATTATTTTAATCAATAATAACTTAAATTTAAATTTTTTATTACAGAGTAAAATCATACAGTTTAATTCATAATTATATTTAATAACTCTTCTTTTAATATTCAAAATATAACTTTTTCAACGTGACATATTATTAATGAATTAATAAATACTTCCATTTATATGAGAAATAAGAAAATGTCTTATCAACTAGCTTCATAATAAAATAAGAAATTAACAATTAATATATGTATAAATAAATCTACATGTTTATAATTAGGACAGAAATATGTATTTACTCATTTCTTCATATATATAAGAGTAGAACTAGTATTCTTTTGTATGTATTTAATAAACACATCTAAAACAAGATCAAACAAACAAAATCTAAAATTGAACTAATATTTTTTTTTTTGTATGTATTTATCAAACACATCTAAAACAAAATCAAAGAAACAAGATCCGAAATGAAAAAAAGATTGGGGCGTGATAATAATTGATAACATTAAAATTGGGTATGGGGAAGTTGGTGATAAAAGGAGTCAACGATTGCAAAGTCACCGTTTGGAGGGAGAAAGCCAAACGCAGCAGACAAGTGGAGGCGTTGAATTGGTTGACCCAATTTAAATGCGTGTAAATTACTTACCAAACACTAGGGAACAAAACAAGAAAATGTGACACCTCATTTATTTCACATATAATAATACTATAGTTTATACGTCAAACCATATTAGATGAATATGCTTACCTAATAAATATTATAAGGTCCAGCGTCAAACCATAGCGACCGATACTTAACAATGACAAGTCATAGAAACTTACGGAACAATAATTTCATAACAAATACTATTCATCACTCTCTCTCTCTCTCTAATACTATGTTAGTGTAAGTTTATACCACATAAATGATAACGACTTATATGATTTAATTAAATTGTTTAAAATATAAATTTCATTTTTTAAATATATAATAAATTATGTTAAGAGAAAAATATTTATATTATACACTTAAATGATTTTATGAGGAAAATTAATTTTTAAATGATAGATATCTTGTATTTATATAATAGTTACAAAAATAAAAGTTATTATAAATTTATTTAGATATATTTTTTTAAATACTTTAAAAAAGGAAGATAAAATGAAATTAGTTTCTCCAAAAACAAAAATTAACTTATACATAAACTAATATATATATAAACTCTCTCATATTTACTTTCCAAAAATTTATGAACAAAATAATTTTATTTTTTCTTTATATTTTCTTTTGGTATAAGTGTTTTTAAAAAGATTTGTTCAAACAAATGTCAACACTTCTCCTACTATTGGTTAGTTTTTTTACACCTCCTACTATTGATTAGAAATTACACATTTTGGTTGGTCCTACTACTAAATAATAAGAGTTTCATTAAATGATATATGACCCACATAATTTTAATTAATAAAAAAGTATTAAAAATATAATATTATAAAAAAAAATGTCATTATCATTCTCTCTATATATATATATATAAAGTTCTCGTTATATGATAGAAAGGTGACGCGTGTTCAAAAGTCTAAAAGCCGAAGTATTTCAATTTATAATTTATAAAAGTAATATAGTCATTTCTATATATAATATTT